AATATATTTATAATCCCATATTTGAGAAAGAATCACTATGAAAGTCTATTCCCGTCCACTCCCTACTCTTAAATACGTCTACAAAACAGGAAAATAATTCATTTTACTTTTCTTGTATTCAATTTATAATGTGGACATTTTCCATGGCATAAGTGTCCTTTGAGCTTATGCCTTTTTTATAAGCAACTTTTGCAATAAGTGATTGTGTCATAATTTATTTAACTTTGTCTTCAAGTTATAAATATTACTATATCTTTTTCCCCCTCTGTCTTTTTTTAAAAAATCCATTTTTATCCTGGTTTGCTTACAAAGTTCATATACATTGTTTTTCACACCAGATCTTTCCTTTCCTTTATGCATTGCTCCCTCCACCCATGAAATTGTGTGACTCTATGATTAAGCCCCCTTCCCCACTCCCTTTGCCCCTGCCCATCCTCGCCCCTCTGCTCTTCCCTCCCCTCCTTGGATCCTGGTATACTGTACCTTCCTATGTTATAATTTCTACTAAAATGTCCTACAGAGGAATTTAATTTTTGGAAATGTTGTCTTTGAAAAAAGAACATCAAATTTTTGGGTGTATGATAGGAGCTCTGTTGGCCTAGTGGTAAAAAGGTACTCTGTAATCCCAAAGGACATGGCTCAAATCCACCAGGGAGAAAATGGGCAGTTTCCTTCAGTGCGCATTGCTGCCTCTGAAAACCCTGGAGGGTGAACATTGAATGGGTTGGTTCTACCTCAATTGCACACAAACACAAGAAGAACAATGCACTAGTACTTAGCATTTAAATATACCTGAAAAAGACTGAATAGAGAAAATGAGTTTCCTCACTGTGAAAGGTAACATATGACAAAAATAAGTTTTAGGCCATAAATATTTATAAAATAATTTTCTTGTAATTTCTTTCACTTTTAAAAAAATTCTTTTATTCAGAGAACTGCCAGATGTGCATGCTGAGTTTAGAAGAGGCTGTTGCACTAGGGACATCACAGCCAATATCAGATGGATCTTGATTGAAAGCAGGGAGTGTTAGAGGAATGTCTGTGCTTCATTGACTATGCAAAGACATTTGTGTGGATCACAACAAACTGTGGCTGACTCTGAGAAGAATTGGGATTTTTCTCATGTGAAACCTATGCTTGGACCAGGAAGCAATAGTCAGGACAGAGCAGGAAAACACTTCATGGTTCAGGATCAGGAAAGGTGTGTGTGTCAGGGATGCATCCTATCTCCATACCTTTTCAATCCATATGCAGAACAGATCATTTGAGAGGCTAGACTTTATGAGGAGTGTGGCATCATAAACCAACCGTGTTATGCAGATGACACAACTTTGCTGAAACTGAACAGGACATAAGGCATTTGCTGCAGAAAGTCAAGGACTGTAATTTTCAATATGTATTGAAGCTCAATATTAAGAAAACAAAGATTTTCACCATTGGGCCAATTGTCAGCTTTATGATGAATAAAGAAGATATTGAGATTGTTGATAACTTCAGCTTGCTTGGTTCCACAATTAATACTCTTGAAACCAGCAGTCAGGAAATCAAAAGACAAATTGCATTGGGAAAGTCTGCTGTCAGGGACCATGCTATACTGAAGAGCAATGATGTCAGTCTGGATACTAAGGCGTGCCTGATTCAGGCCATGGTCTTTACAATTACATGCTATGCATCAGAGAGCTGGACAATGACTTAAGATGACAGAGGGAAAATTGATGCCTTTGAGTTGTGCTGGAGAAGAGTGTTGAACATACCTAGGAGAACAAACAGGTCAGTCCTAGAGAGGGTGAAACCAGACTGCTCCCTGGAGGCAAGGAGTTTGAAACTCTATCTCAAATACTTTGGGCACGTGGGTAGGAGGGATCAGTCCTTGGAGAGGGACATCATGCTTGGAAGAATGGAGGGACAGCACAGGCTAGGAAAACCCTCAATAAGGCGGGTTGACTCAGTGACTGGAGAAATTATATTAGGTATGTCAGAAGTGAAGAGATTGGCTCAGGAAAGGGCAGGGTTCTGAGCTAACGTATATAGGGTTATTATGAGTCATTGGAGATTTAATGGCACATAACGACAACAACATTAGTCACTGATCACCTGCTTGAGACAATCTTTTGTGTTTTTGTTAATTATGCGTGTATAACTTTTACCAAATAACCAAATTTCAAAATAAAAACTACTGTCATGGAGTTACTTCAAACTCTTAGTGACTCTCCATCAAGTTTCTAAGACTTTAGATGTCTTATTTTTTTAAAGATGCCTTTTTTGTACGTTTGTTTTTAAATCCTAAAGATGTCTTTTAAAAAATATTTCTTTTAATTTTTTATTATTTGTGTGTGTGTACTGTAAAATCGGATCTGACTGGTACAGGAGGAGATTGTTCCTCCTGTTCCAGCAGAGCATCTGGTGGATTTGAACTGCGCACCTCTGGGATTACAGTGCAGCTTCTTGCCACTAAGTCACCAGAGCTCGCCAAAAATTTATTTCTATTTAAAATAACATGCAAAGGACCTTAAAAAGGCCCCAAAGCCCAAAGATATCCATGTTTAAGACAAGATCATAGTCAGGTTTGCCTCTTCCTGGTACCATTTCGAATCACTCATGCTAAGTATTTGGATGACAACACAGTTTCTTACCACCAGGCCACCTAAATATTTGTACATGGCTGAAACTGTGAACACTGGTGTCTCTTCTATTTTCACCATGATGGATTCCTACAAGTTTCGCCTCCACGCATAATACAAGGTTAAAATATTATTGAAGGTAACCAGAATTACATTGCCAGGAGTAATTATTAGTATTTCGAAAAATGGAAAACTAAAGCTTGTCAAGGAGGGGAGTCACCATAGAAAGCCTCAGAAGCAGAATGAATAAGCTAATAAGCAGCAAACAGATGAACTGGTAAAATTTCTGTGAAAACATCACTAGACTCAATCTCTCCAATGATGTGCTTGGATGGTCAGCTGGAGTGGCTGGGATTGTGAGTTTTATCTGAGAATAATGTCAAGCATGCCACAACAGAAATAGTTCCCCACCATTGAGCACGAAATAGGCTCCACATCGTTACGGGAGGAGATTGCCCATCTTTCTCCTGAGGAGCACATGGTGGATTCTAACTACTGATTTTCTGTCAGCAGCCCTGTCATATTACATACAATGTCACTAAGTTGTTGTTGTTGTTATGTGCCATCGAGTCGTTTGCGACTCATAGCGACCCTATGTACAACATAGTGCCAATCGCACTGCCTCTGACACACCCGTCCCAATTACACCAGTCACTGAATCAATCCACCTCACAGACTGTCTTCCCCTCCTGTGCTGTCCTTCCACCCTACCAAGCATGATGTCGCTCTCCAAGGACCTGTCCCTCCTTATAACATGTCCAAAGTATGTCAGACGAAGCCCCAGAATCCTTGCCTCCAAGGAGCAGCTTGGTTTAACCCTTTCTAGGATGAATCTGTTTGTTTTCTTGGCAGTCCATGGTACATTCAATAGTCTTCTCCAGCACCACAGCTCAAAGGTATCAATTCTCCTTCTATCCTTCCTAGTCATTGTCCAACTCTCTGATGCATAACAAGTGATTGCAAAGACCATGGCCTGTATACTTATACCAAATAACCCTACTCTATCCTACGCTAATCT